AGCTTGAGCCCAGGAGTTGGAGGTTGCTGTGAGCGTCGAGGCTGACGCCACGGCACTACTCTAGCCTGGATAACAAAGCGAGACTCTGTCTCAAAAAAAAAAAAAAAGCTCATGGGGGGGTTATTAGTAATTATTGTTAGAATGCTCCATGAAGATGTGTTTTTGTCTGCTTTTGTTTACTGCTGTATCCTGGCAAAGACTGGATACACATAAGTATTTATTGTTGAATAAACCTCCACCTAAAGATGAAGGAAGTGAGACACAGAGAGATTAAGTTACTTGTCCAAAGTGCCACAGATGGCAGAAGGCTGGGAGATTTCAAGCATCCTCACCTGGGCCAGGATGAGCAAAGCGGATCTCTGGTTCCTGAGAACCCAGGAGCTCAAGGACCGTTTCGTGCTGCCAGGGAGGAAGTAAGACCACGGAGAGGAAATGGCTTTGTTGGGTATGGGGCGGGTGGAATCTTAGGCAGCATTGTAAAAGATCAAACTGGCAGACTGGGGCAAGAACCTGGCAGACTGAGGATACCACAAGAGCAGCAGAGAGCTGCTGGCACGAAGCCAGGCACACGAGGACAATGGGTGGCCGCTAGGACAACGTGTGTTGATCAGTGACCAAAGATCAGATGACTGCTCCTCCCCTAATAGATGATTTGTTACTTTGTTTCCTCCAGTCAAAAGAATATGTTGTAAGGCAGAAAATTGTTATGGAAAATGAGAAAAGCACTATTTCTTGCATACCTGAATTTTTTTTTTTTTTTTTTGAGACAGAGTCTCACTTGTTCCCAGGCTAGAGTGAGTGCCATGGCGTCAGCCTAGCTCACAGCAACCTCAATTCCTGGCTCAAGCAATCCTCCTGCCTCAGCCTCCCAAGTAGTGGGACTACAGGCATGTGCCACCATGCCCGGCTAATTTTTTCTATATATATAATTGGCCCCATTAATTTCTTTCTATTCTAGTAGAGACGAGGTCTTGCTCTTGCTCAGGCTGGTTTCGAACTCCTGACCTTGAGTGATCCGCCCGCCTTGGCCTCCCAGAGAGCAGGGATTACAGGTGTGAGCCACCTCGCCTGGCCCATACCTGGATTTTTTTTTTTTTAGCTAAAACAGTTTTATACACAAGCAGCAGCATTATGCAAATAAGAAATATTAAATATGTCCTCAGAAGGCTAGCCTTGCCCATCAAAATGCATGGGCAATTTCTAATTTGCCTGTATCTCAGTTTCTTCATCCATAAAATAGGCATTAAAATGATTGGGGTGAGAATAAAAAGATCTTTTTGAAGATGTAAGTCCAAACTCAGGAAAGATATAAGTACATTGTGTTAACTTCATATATCGTTACCGCCCCACTTTTTTTATCTATTGATGTAGTTTATTATACAGATGGATGTTTTGATGTTGTAACATCTTGCATTCCTGGGATAAATAGAAAGTATAATTATGCAAATAACTATAGGAATATCATGTACAAGCACAGTTTGATTAATGAGTCACAACTGTTGAAAGGATGTTCTGGAAGAAAAGATAAGTATTTGTCAGATGTTCATGGACCTCTGCCAAATCTTAGATTTAAAGATATGTTTGTAGAGAAATATAGATAGCTACCAACCTACGCTAAGAAGTTTTAAATGTCTTGTTAATTTGAGTGCAATACAATATAAAATAGCATGATTTTATAAATTAACAACAAAACACAACCCTTTTGGCCAGGCATGGTGGTTCACACCTGTAATCCTAGCACTCTGGGAGGCCAAGGCGGGAGGATTGCTTGAGCTCAGGAGTTCGAGATCAGCCTGAGCAAGAGTGAGACCCTGTCTCTACTAAAAATAGAAAAATTAGGCAGGCATCGTGGTGCACACCTCTAGTCCCAGCTATTCAGGAGGCTGAGACAGGAGGATGGCTTGAGCCCAGGAGTTTGAGGTTGCAGTGAGCTACGATGATGCCACTGCACTCTACCCAGGGCAACAGAGTGAGACTCTGTCTCAAAAACAAATCAAAAACAACCCCTTTGTTTTCATACAAAATTCAGGAGGTGGACACTGATATTTATGTAATGTTGAAATGAGAATAAGCTATGTTTAATTTTGAATGCTGGTCATAATGCATCTACACACATACATTTATAAGGAAAACACAATTTTTTGTGCTATGGAAACATTGACTATGACAACAAAAATCAATAAAAAATTTATATAAAATGCTTTTCAAACACAAACTTCAACTAAAAATGACACTGTCCACTCAGTAGGCTTTTTTTCTTTTGAGACTTAAAACAAATATGTCAAGACATTGTAACAATTATATTTTCAATTTCCTAGATAAGAATGATCCATTAATTATAATTACATAAAATGTTTTCTTTTTTCAGAAAGAACGTATTTACTTTACATATTTTATTTACGATTTTCATGCTGTTTTTTCTTTCCCACCATTTATGCCTAAGCTGGACATTTCTAAGTAACTTGGAAAATAGTTCCATTATTCTGATGGGCACTTCATTTAGGCCTCCACATTTGAACTCCATTATATGTATATTTCTCCCCCAGAGACAATTCCACAATTCACAGCCCCATATTTCTAAATCTGGGGCTGTGAAATGTGGAATTTTTATTAGTGTAGTCAATTCTCTCTTGAGAGAACAATTTCCCCGCATATTTATTATACATGTGTGGTGTGTGCCACAGAGTCTCACTCTGCTGCCCTGGCTAGAGTGCAGCGCCATCAGCCTAGCGCCATCAGCCTAGCTCACAGCAACCTCAAACTCCTGGGCTCAAGCGATCCTCCTGCCTCAGCCTCCCGAGTAGCTGGGACTACAGGCATGTGCTATCACACTTGGCTAATTTTTTCTATTTTTAGTGGAGACTAAAGGTCTTTAGGTCTTGCTTTTGCTCAGGCTGGTCTTGAACTCCTGACCTCAAGCAATCCTCCTGCCTCGGCGTCCCAAAGCTCTAGCATTACAGGCGTGAGCCACTGTCCCCAGCCTCCCCCAACCTTTGATGCCTAGCGGGAGAGGCCACAGGTGAGGGGGGGGGTGACAGGTCCACAGGGACCTGGCGGTCACATTCCTCTTGCATGTGCCTCGCCCTGGCAGTTCTTCCACAGCCGTCCTCCAAACTCTGAGCTGCGTCACCAGAGCTAACAAATCAGACAGTGTCAAACACCACACAGTAAAGTGACTGAAAACAGGGCAAACCATCTTAAAATGGAACGTTTTCTTTACTGCATCCTCTGAAAGTTTGTGGGTAGATATCCTCTTAATCATTTGGTTATGATGCTATACACTAGAATGTTCCAACTAAGGTAGGGGGGAGGTAGAGAGCAAGACAGACGTGATCTTATTTATATTGTTTTCCCATATGTTATTAGATAGTGACTTATAATTTTGGCTTTGAAATATCATCTTTTATCTTCAGTTATCTCAAGAGACAGCATAAAGTTTTCCAAAAAAATCCCCAAAGGAAGATACTGAGACATGTCTAGAGGGCTGTGAAAGTAATCCCTCCCTTTTTCTCTTTCCAGAATCGCACCATGCCAAACTACAAACTCACTTATTTCAACATGAGGGGGAGAGCAGAAATTATTCGTTACATATTTGCTTATTTGGACATAAAGTATGAAGACCACCGAATAGAACAAGCTGACTGGCCTGGAATCAAATCAAGTAAGTAGCACCGATAATGGTTCATGAAAATGGAGGAAAATATACTTTCAGAACCTTTTGTTTTTCCTCAGAGGGAAATGAAAAAAAAAAAAAAAAAAAAAGAATGTTTTTGAATGTCATGTAGCTTTAAATTGAGGTAGACTAAATAAATGCTCTATGAGCCAGCAATTTTCCTATTAGAGGTGAATACACAAACTTTACAGAAACACAATATAAAGATAAACCAATATAAAGCTTTATAAGATGTATTACTGTCTCAACTTTATAGTTGGGGTAGCTGAAATGCACAAGAGTTTGGGTAATTTTTCCAGTCTCACATCCCTGGCAAATAGAGCTGAGTTTCAAACCCAGGTCAATTTAATACCAAGCCCAAGATATATGCACCAGACAATGCCAATAGCAATACTACTTCAATAACCAGTATATTAACAATAAATTTCCATATAGCTTTTGGAAGCATGAGCTTCTTATGAATCATTGCTCCTATAATCACTCTTTTTCTTAGCAGAGATCTCTTCACTGATGGGATAGGATATCTGATTTCCTATTGTCATGAAATTTTACCATTAATATCCAAATGTTTCTTCCGATATCAGAATTTATACATGGGATTTTAAGATGGTGAACATAGACTAGGTGGCTGGGTGCGGTGGCTCACGCCTGTAATCCTACCACTGTGGGAGGCCGAGGCAGGAGGATCGCCCAAGGTCAGGAGTTCGAGACCAGTCTGAGCAACAGTGAGACCCCCGTGTCTACAAAAAATAGAAAAAATTTGTATATTTAATGTTTTCTATTATTTAAGGCACGTTTTGTGAAATGTCTCCATGTTCTGCTAAGCATTGCATCTTATAATCATTTGTTTTAGAGACAGGTAGGGATTTACCCCAGGCAAGGAATTTAAACTCACAGCTCCCAAAGGATATATTTCAGTTATTCCTCTTGCTTTGCTTTGATGTGAGGCAACAATTTGAAAATAAATATTAATTGGTATTTGATACCAAAATAGAGATCCCAGCTTACCATTCAAAATTAACATTCAGTGGTTGAAACAATATCTTGCTCAGTTAACAAAAATTGTCCTATTTCTCTATGGTCCTACAGTTTAACTCCAACCTGGCAACTTTTCCAGAACTGACCTAGAAATATCTAGGACACTGTGAAATGTGGAAATCAGCATTCTTACCACCAAGCGTTAGGGAGTAAAAAAGTGCTTTTATTTAATGTCAATATATGCAAGAAATCCTATGTGAACAATAGTGTCTCACATGATTGCTGTCTGAATCCAATTTTGCATTTCAAAACAACAGAGCCTATCACATAATATGGATGCAAACATTATGCTCCATGTCACTACATTTTATAGGCTTATTACTGGACAAGTTAAGAGCATAAACTCAAAGAGACCTAAGGCTCAAAGCTACTAGCAAATTCACATGTAATCTTTGTTTTCAAACTCCTGAACTATGCACAATACTAAACATGTAAGAAAAAAAGACTATCTTTCAGGGATCATTTCTATAGTCCGTTACTAACATGTACAAAAATGAAGTCTGAAATCCCAAGTATGTTTGAATTCCTGATGTCTTTATTTAAGAGTAAGAAGCTTAAGTTGACCAACATTTTGACTGAATTGTAGAATGCTAATACGTAATTTCCTTATTTGCGAGTTTTTCTATTTATCAAAATTACTCCAAAAGTTCACTACTTTTTTTATAAAAGAGTTCTGCTGAAGTCTTTGTAAATAATGTTAGCATAGTAATTTACATCTGACTGCTTTCCAGAGAATTGAGTTTGGATTTTTGTCACCTTTCTTTACAGAGACCATTTTACTGTGCTCTTATAACAAATACAGATAATATATCACTCAGTCAAAATAATGGTTTGTTATGAAATTTTGTAATTTTATCAATGAACATATTAAAATTGCCTCTGGATTGAATGCTCCTATATTTTTTCTTGCAAATCAGCTAAAAACATCAGCATTATATAAAGTAAAAAGAGCTACAAACCAGGAAAAGAAAGGAGTATCCAAGATAGGACTTTTCAAATCGCTATGAACTTCCCTGTAAAAATTTATTCTCTAACAAGTTTAGCATATGCGGAATTTCTCTCCAGGGTGTTATTAATCATTCATTAATGCAAGTGTGTCTTTGAGGTTCTGAATGGGCTTTTTGTAATCTGCAGCCTCAAGAACCTTACATCACACTGTCTTTGAAGTGCTGGGCTAGGGATTAATTGTAGTGTAAAGGAGATCTTCAAGCACGATCAACTTTTTAACTTAAGTTTCTAGATTGTTTCAGAAAGTTGGCAGTTTTCCCTACGCCAGAATCTTAACACAGAACTGTCACCCCCAACCAGGTCATTGCCTGCTGCTGCCCAAGAGAGGTCAACTATCCAAGACAGCAGGGTTTATAGTAGACAAAGCATTTTAATTCCTCATACTGCTAAGCAGGGAGACAGGAGAAATTTCTTAAATCCTCCGCCCTGAGAATTTGGGCGAAGGAATTTAAAGACAGTTTGGCTTAGGCAATTGAGTCTGCTAATGGCTGCATTTGTGCAGAACCATAGGGTTTTAGAAATGTCTTCTTTGCTGACCAGCTTCTAGGTGGGGTCACCAAGATCAGCTGAGTCAGCTCCCTGGTATGGGCCACTGGTCTGGTGTGGTCAGCTGCTCCCCTGGAATTCGGGAGCTGAATGTAACTCAGAAACAACCCCTAAGTCTCAAAAAGGTGATGTTATCAAGGAGAAAGCTAAGAATTTGATGACCACAAGCTATGTGTTCCAGTTCCCAATTACAGAGAAGCAAACAAGGGAGAGTGCTAATTATTGTCATTATTTTTAGCTAGGCCTTAGCAACAGTTCTCACCTTGCACCCCTTTATCAACTTGTGAAAACGATTTCAGAGTGACAGGGAAGGGTTCAAAAAGGGAAAGCTGGGCGGCCATGGTGGCTCACACCCTGTAAATCCTAGCACTCTGGAGCTGAGGCAGGCCGACTGCTCAGGTAAGGAGTTTGAAAACCAACCTGAAGCAAGAGTGAGACCCGTCTCTACTATAAATAGAAAGAAATTAATGGCCAAGTAATATATAGAAAAAATTAGCTGGCATGGTGCGCAGCTGTAGTCCAAGCTACCGGAGCTGAGGCAGGAGGATGCTTGAGCCCAGGAGTTGAGGTTGCTGTGAGCTAGCTGCGCCACGGCACTCACTCTAGCCTGGGCAACAAAGCGAGACTCTGTCTCAAAAAAAAAAAAAAAAAAAAAGGAAGCCAACAATAAGAACCACACTGATCCTGGAATCCTGCTGGGATAGTCAAATAACTCAGAGGTTATTTCTGGGTATGATGTGAAGTTCGGGTCTAATTATATATATTTTCCCCTATTGTCTCAGAACCACAGTCCAGTCCCATTCTGTCCCCACTGTGTGTTGTGTCTGTCACACAATGGGTTCTGTTTCTGGAGACTGTGTACCTCATCTGTCTATCATCACGAGGCTTTTTATCTAAGTCCTGCTATCTGGTAGGTCAAGACCTTCCCTTCTGTTCTCTTGGTTGCCTTGGGTATGTGTGACCTTAGCATATCCATTTTAAATTAGGATCAGGTTTATCTGTAGGCTCCTTTGTATTTTAAATATAGACAATTATTTCATTGCAAAGGAACAGTTTTTCACTTCCTTTCTTTTCATATATCTATCATTTATACTGTTTATGTATTATCTAGCTACCCAGGACTGTGCCTGAAGTTAAGAAATAATAGCATGATTCTTGTTATTCCTGCATTAAAGAATATGCTTCTATTGGCTCTCCCATTATGTAGGATTCTGCTCTAAGTTTTGTAGTAGAGACTTTTTATCCAGTTAAGGAAGTTTCTTCTGTTCCTACTTTATTTTGTGAGGACAGAGTCTCACTTGTTGCCAGGCTAGAGTGAGTGCCGTGGCGTCAGCCTAACTCACAGCAACCTCAAACTCCTGGGCTCAAGCAATCCTCTGCCTCAGCCTCCCAAATAGCTGGGACTACAGGCATCCACCACCATGCCGGCTAATTTTTTTCTATATATATAGTGCCAATTAATTTCTTTCTATTTATAGTAGAGAGGGGTCTCGCTCTTGCTCAGCTGGTTTTGAACTCCTGACCTTGAGCAATCCACCTGCCTGCCTCCCAGAGTGCTAGATTACAGGCGGAGCCACAGCGCCCGGCCTTGTTCTACTTTATTAGAGGTTTCTTTTTGTTGAGAGTTTGATCACAATGAGTGATAACTTTATAAAAATGCTTTCTTAAGCATTTATTTACCATCTATTGAGATGATAGTATGATTTATGGTTTTCGTTTTTTTTATCTATTGATGTAGTTTATTATACAGATGGATGTTTGATGTTGTAACATCTTGCATTCCTGGGATACAATAGAAAGTATAATTATGCAAAATAACTATAGGAATATCATGTCAAGCACAGTTTGATTAATGAGTCACAACTGTTGAAAGGATGTTCTGGAAGAAAAGATAAGTATTTGTCAGATGTTCATGGACCTCTGCCAAATCTTAGATTTAAAGATATGTTTGTAGAGAAATATAGATAGCTACCAACCACGCTAAGAAGTTTTAAATGTCTTGTTAATTTGAGTGCAATACAATATAAAATAGCATGATTTTATAAATTAACAACAAAACACACCCTTTTTGCCAGGCATGGTGGTTCACACCTGTAATCCTAGCACTCTGGGAGCAAGGCGGGAGATTGCTTGAGCTCAGGAGTTCGAGATCAGCCTGAGCAAGAGTGAGACCCTGTCTCTACTAAAAATAGAAAAAATTAGCCAGGCATCGTGGTGCCACCCTCTAGTCCCAGCCATTCAGGAGCTGAGACAGGAGGAGGCTTGACCAAGGAGTTTGAGGTTCATTGAGCCTAACCTATAGTAGCTGGGACTACAGGCATGCGCCACCATGCCCGGCTAATTTTTTCTATATATATTAATTGGCCAATTAATTTCTTTCTATTTCTAGTAGAGAC